ATTTCAATAGTTGCTTTGATTTACCATCTCTCGATCCTTTTGTACCAAAGACATTGGCAGGCCGGTGGATGGGCTGACAAGAGCCTTGCACTTGGTATGTAGTAACTCCATGCAGCAGTACAGGATGTGCACTGGCTGGGGAGGAGGCAACTTTACAGGAGACCCAGGGATACTGGAGGACAACAGGCTGTACACAATTCAGCAGCGTGCCCTTGTGATAGAATGGGCTGACTGCATGCTGGGCAGCACGGATGTGAGCTTAGGCAGAAGGTCAAGGGAAGTGCTGAAGTGGCCCTCCATTCAGCACTTGTGAGACTGCTTCTGGTGTCCAGCTTGGGGCTTCCCAGTACAAGACATCATGTCCTGTCCCTCTAACCCCATGGGACTTGCATCAGTTTTGCCCTAAGCTAGTTCAGGGTTTCACCTGAACCAGGTGACATAGAAAGAGGTTCTGAAAACTAGGTTTATTTGGTCTGGAGAACAGAAGACTAGGCAAGGATTTCATTGCAGTCTTCAGCTGCCTAATGGTGGTTATACAGGAGATGGATCTGGAGTCTTTTCAGAGGTGCACAATTAAAGGACAAGGGGCAGAGGTCACAAGTTAAAGAGAAATTCCAATTGCGGGGGGACAATGAGAGTGGTCTGATGCTGGAAGAGAGGCCCAGAGGGGCTGTGGAGGACCTTGGCGGTATTCAAAACTTGGCTGGACACAGCCCTCAGTAAGCTGCTGTGAATTGGAGTCAGACCAGAGACTTTCAGAGGTCCCTTGCAACCTGAACGATTACATGATTCCGAATAGCAGCAAACAGCCCTAAGGGCACACCAGATCTACTAAGTACTGACAGACCTGCTAGTTGAGTGATTTTTCTATCTACTGAATTGTCTCAAGACAGGTCATTGTGAGGTGTTGACAGGTTCTGTGGCCCAGGATAGCCCTATAAACTCCTGTGTGAGGCTCAGGCATCTTTCATTATCCTGTTGGGTCGCTAGCATGTGTGTCTGTCAGAAGAGAGTTAGGGACCATTCTTGTGAATGTTCTGCTGTGGTTGTATCCCTGAGCATTGCCCTCACTGGTGAAAAATGTTTTATTTCAGGTTGGTTTGTCTTTTTTCCTTTGCTAGCTGTGTCTTTGAACTTGCTGTTTAAATCATGGTGTCATCACTCACTTTAAGACAGTTTAACTGCTTTTACAAAGTGTTCTGCAGTTACGGTTAGTTACAATGTTTTGAAGATTTAACAGACCGCAGAGGTGGGAAGGAACACCAAGTACTCCTCCCTTTGCCAAGATATTTGTAAAAGATTCCAGTCATTGATAGATTGTTTTTTTCCGGACATCGACAAGGTAGTTTTAGTCATCTTTCCCACTTGTTAGTGGGGAAAAGGATACACAAGATGACATCTCGGGTACAAGAAAGCACGTGACCTGCTCCTGAGATTGGAAGACGACTTTTCAGGTGGCTTGCAGCCAGGAGCTGAACACAGAGCTTTCCTCACAGCAGCAAGTGGTCTGCAGTGGAGCGGCAGGGACAGTTAAAACATGTTGAAACCTACTAAGGTTATTTTGAGTATTACTTTTTTCTGCAGCTCGTGGAGAAGGACCCTGCGACGTAAAGTGGTGCAGTGACTTACCGAAGGTGATAGTATCAGAAGCAGAATGTAGAAACAGTGACTGCCTGTGATCACTGGGATCAACAATGATCTACTCAGTGGCATTGTTGTTTTTTGCTTTCTTTGTCATCTTAGGCTGGCCAAGTCTACGTTGACTCTGATCCCGCTGCTGGGGACCCATGAAGTCATCTTTGCCTTTATTACCGATGAGCATGCCAGAGGGATGCTGCGCTTTGTGAAGCTTTTTACTGAACTCTCCTTTGCTTCTTTTCAGGTAGCACTCACACTGTGCCCATATAGATGAGAGATTTTTTTAACTGCTGTTTGGGGACCTGCTTTGTGTCTCATTCATTGCATGTTCCCTGTTCTTTACATTTCTCAATTTAGCACAGGATATTACAGGATTATGATAGTGGAAGGGAAAGTATGAGGACTAATTTTGATGGCAAACTTAAATGTTAGTGTCGCATACTCTTATTTTCAACATCTTAAATTTACCACAACAAATTGGTATTCCTATCAATGTATTAATATCTACTTCCTATGGGGTACCTGAAGGCAATAATAATACTATCTGTGATTTTCTGTAATTATATAATGGTATTGCTGAAAGCAAATTTTGTGCTTTCTCCGGTGTTTTTGATGCTCCTTGGAAAATCTGTGCTGTGAGAGGTAGCTGTCTACAGCTGTAACTGCATGTGAGGAAGATGTAGGTTTACTGTGATTTTTTTATTCAGCTGTTGCCTTAGGTGAGGACGTTTCAAGAGAGTCTCCTTGTCTAAGGGAATCATTATTCTTCTGGTTTCCCTGTTCACCCACTCATTCCCTGTTTATCAAGTACAGAGTTGTATTTAAGATCACTGTGAGTTGTTCACTTATGAAGTGTTTATAATTAGAAACCAGGTAAGGAAAAAGAAGGGGAAAGGAATCTTTAGGAAAAAAAACCCAAGTTGAAGAAAACAGTAACTCCTTTTTCCTAAGTTCATGTGCTTTGAGGCAGTTTGGTCAAACCTCTGCTCGCCATCAGAGCTCTTGGGAATCACAGGTTGTCTCCACCTTGTTTTTCTCTCACCATGGCACATGCCAGTGTGGAGTCTCTATCCCTCTGCAAGTTTGTTTGGCAAAGCCGGGGAACAGCTCTGCTCACTTCTCTTCTGTGTTTTGTTGATTTCAGGGGCTGATGGTTGCAATTCTCTACTGCTTCATCAATAATGAGGTAAGAGAGACACTAGTTGTTCCGATTTGCCTTATCAGCATCCACTATAGGAAAAGGAGATTGAAAATGGTCTCGAACTGCTAAATTGTCCTTGTTCGGGACTTTTACTTTTTTTTATACAGACCCTCCTCTACAGCTGCACAGGATAACTCTTCAGACAAATGTTATTGGAAGGAATTCAGGCAGTATAATTCAGGGACGCTATTTGTAGACATAAAATCTTGCAAGTTGTCTTGCTCACAGTTGTATAGTTTGCACTGCTGGAGCTTTTCTTTTATTAGGAATTATTGCTGCTGCTCTTAATCTGTCTCATAGTGCTTCTTATTTGCTTGTTTTGGTGAATGTGGGAGTGGAGCCTGTTTTATTCTGAGAACTCTGCTCAGCTGGCTGGTGAGGTTAGTGTCCTGTTGGCTAATGCTTGAACGGTTTAGTTTCATTTGGTTTCCCTGCGGCCCAGCTATTTGAAGACATCATCGTGCTCTCATTCAAACTGAACTTTCATGGAGTGCTGAGCATTCCCACAGGCCCAGAAGAAATGTAGCCAGGCCTTTCAGTTAATTGATTGCAAGTACCATCTTCTATGGCTTCTGCTGAATCCCAGACCTGTTGGGGGAAGAGTACTGTTCTGGTTTTGTATTGCAGAAATCTTTAATGTTACCTTCTAAGTAATTATTATTATACATTCATTCAGCAGCCAGGGAATCAAATGCTACTAATTTGGCAGCACATTATTAAGTTTAATACACATCAATGTGTTTTACACTAATGCTAGAACTACTTTTAGACATGACATGGTAATTCAAGATCACCTATTGAGAGATAGGCCTCATCGAGTAATTGGAATCAATGGAAAAATACTCTACTTGTGGCTTTATGGCCAGGCTGGAGTCCACAGAAAAGCAGCAGGCATCCTGAATTAAGCCCTGCAGGAGACTGTTCACATTTGTAGCTTGTGGGTAAGATTTTGTTTAAGTGAATGTGCTAATTGCACTGCTTACAAAAGCCAGAGGTGGGTAGCAGCAGGCTTTGCTGAAGTATGAATTCAAGAATATTTGTTTCAAATCCCTTGTACAGCTTTACAGGTCTGAAATGCAGCATTGTCTGCTGATGCATCATGTATTTCTTCTGATTCACTTTGGCCTTTGGTCATACATCCCCTGTGCAGCTGCAGCCAGGCCTCTCATGAGTAATGCCCAATATTTTCCTCCATGTGATACAAGGGCAAAAAGTTACATGATAGCCCAAACTTTATTACAAACCCTGAAATAGGTAGCCTTGTTTCATTCTATCATTCAGATACATCCCTAAGACGTTATCTCTAATATAGTCTTTTGTTCAGGTCTTCCCACTCGCATCATCTCAATCTTGCAGGCTATTTGTATCATAGCTCTAGGATACAGCCTGTTGTCTCCGGCCAGATTGAAGACTCATTTTCTCCCTTTGACTGACTCTAAGATACCCATTTCTACTGCTCATTGACCTATTCTGTCAGTAAGTACATTCATGCTTTCTTTCAGGATCTGCCTGTAAATGTCTGTAACTGCTTTTTCCCAGTGCTGCCTATTAAAACAGCTGTGTTGCATGCCCACAAAACGTACCAAGTACTGGGGTAGTATACAGTCAATTTGTCTCCTGCAGACAGTATGGTCCTTGCATTTCACTGTTCCCTTTTCTGTCTTTATCAGGCTGTTCTCCCCAACTCTTCCATGCCAACCTATCTCAGATACACTGTTTTTTCCTGGTGTCTTTGTGCACCTTTTGACACAACGATCCACAGTTATCATGGTAAAATAGAAGCTTCTATCTCGGCATCTTTTCTTCTGTCCAGTTTTGTTGTTATACCAGAGGGACAGATTCCGTTGTCAGAAACGCAGAGATGCATCTGGTTCCCACCAGGACAGTATTCAGTACAAGGGCTGTAGCCCAGAGCAGACAAGCACTGCAAGAGGTAACCACCAAAGGAAGATGACAATTGGTTATGTAAAACTTTGCTCCTTTTTTTAGGGCTGCCTCTCAGATTCAGTATTTTGTAATGAACAAGCAGAGAAGACAGATATACAAGAGATGGTTCCCTAGGAAGTTTCCCTCAGAGTATGAAGGTTTAGCAGCCTGGGTACGATGACAAGCTGGCACTGGAGCTGCCATCAACCCATTTAGTCTCTTGGCGGTCAGTACCAGACCTTAAGAGGAAACAAAAAGGAACTCTCCAGAGAAGGCTCACTTGAGCGACCCACCTATAGTGAACTTACTTCCAGGCTGAAGTGTACACCATAATGAATTGATAACTGTAGTTGCACTCCTGCCTTTTTCTAAATAGAGTGAAAAATGTTCAATTTTATGTCCTCTGCCTTATGTGTTAAAAGCTAATGGAGGTTCTTACTTCAGTCGAGTGGCAAGAATTTTGTGGAACAGGAAGATCTAAATTCTGATTTTTCTTAGCAGTTACAAGACCCTGGATAAATTTCCAAATTAGTACATAGGTTACACTGTTTAACCCAGAACTTGTGACTGGATGAGCATATTTTGTAACTTCAAAAAAAAAAAAAGCTAGTGTCTGGAAGGAGATATTGTAATTATTATTTAAAAAGCAGAGGGGAGTACAGTCTTTAACATGCTTCATTGCTGGCTTCTCAATTCTGAATAAAACTTAATTTTTATATGGAATAAAAAAGGTAAATATTCAAAGAACAAAAATAATGCGAAATATGGTATTTTTTTAAATCAAAACAGAAGTTAAAACACAACTCTTAAGAATACCTGTGGTGACAGTATTGAGCAGGAAGCCAGTCTTTTCAGTCATTTCATGGCGATAAGCAAAATCAACTTAATTGTTAGTACTGGTAAGGCATAGAGTACATTCAGTATTGCAGCTGAATACAATTTAGAATAAAATAATGAAGATAAAATTTCCTGGTGCATAAAAGAGCTTTATTTCTACAAGTAAAAGTGAATGCTGTCATTATTTTAAATATGGAATACCCTACAATGGACTAATGAGATAATTGGATAATTTGAAGCAATAATATTGCAGGTTTAAAGCATTGCCAGCTTTTCTCAGTAGTATGGTATCTTTATTTTTTTCCTTGCTCTTTTCTAACAGAGTCATTTAAAGATCTGATTAGTACTACTTTTATTCCTTCTGTTTCCTTCTTCGCTTCTGTTAGGTTCAGATGGAGTTTAGGAAGAGCTGGGAGCGCTGGAGATTGGAACATTTGTATGTCCAGAGAGACAGCAGTATGAAACCTCTGAAGTGTCCAGCCAACAGCATCAGCAGTGGAGGCACAGTAGGCAGTAGTGTCTACGCTGCCACTTGTCAGGCCACATTCAGCTAAGAATTCTGCAGGGGAATCAGACCGAGAACAATGAACTCTGTAATATACCTGAAAACCCTTAAGTACCCAAGCAAGTGGCTTAAGTATGCCATCTCCAGCAAGAAACTTAAGCATATGTTGCTCATTGCCTGCAGGCTGTTGGACAAAGGTTTCTAGGGAAAGCAATCTGTTAATGTAATCAACACATCAGAGAAAAAATTGATCACATCTAAAGTAAGTTAGAACAGTTTTTTCCTATTTGCACACAAGGCCTCCAGGTGTCCAAAACAAGCATAGCATTGATCCAGTCTGAAACCACAGGGTCAATGGCTTATTACTGTTGAGTGGGAGAGCTGAGTGATCGAATGATTAAATTACAAGGATACAGAATATGATTATTGCCAAAAATACATTTAGACTTTTATGGGGATAGGGTAAGGTGCCATCAACAGTTTTAGAAAAAAAGAACTTAATGGGACACAACCTGCGTTTTAGGGAAGAATCAGTTTTGTAGTAAGAGTTTCCAAAAGCTGAAGTGGAAAATATGCTTACCTGTTTTCTGGGTAGGTGAAGAACAGCATTCTGAAGGTCTATCAATACAGCAGGTAGTATGGTGTACATTTCTGAATGCTCTCTTTAAGCTTCGCTTGGGGGGGGGAGGGGAAAGAAACCAAACCCAGTATCTGGTAGGGGCCTCTTCTACTATTAATAAGTGAGTGTTATCTCTATTGATATGGATGGAAATTCCCCCTGAATGCACAGCCATTCCGTTTTTATATGGTACTCTGGCTCTCCAGTTGGCACATGGGTGTTACCAGGGACAAGATAATGACTTGTGGTTTAAGAGGACATTTTCTTTCTAAGCTATACTCTGCTTCTTGTGGGTTCAAACACACAGAAGTCAGCTTGTGGCCACAGCTGGTCTTACCAGACTTCACCTACTTGAGGAAGACTAGTAGTTCACAGTGTGGGCTCACTTTTGTTTCTCCTCCAGCCTTGTTCATTTCCTCCAGACAGGAGATACCCGCAGGGTGCTGCCCTCACGGTGGCGGGAAGGCGGCTTTTGAGCAGGCTGCCGGGTCCGCACCGC